GAGAACGCTCATCTGTTGGTTCACTCCCCAGTGCCTGCAAAAGCTAGGGCTGTGGCTGAAGCCAGGAATTGGGAAGTCAATCCAGGTCTCCCATATGAGTAGCAGAGAGAGAGGGAGAGAGAGAGGGAAATCGATCTTCTGTCTGTTGGCTCATTCTCCAGATGACCACAACGCCAGGGTCGGGTCACACTGAAGACAGGAGCCAGGAGCTTCTTCCAGGTCTCCCACATGCGTGGCAGAGGCCCAAACACTTGGGCCATCTTCTGCTGCTTTTCCCAGGCACATTAGCAGGGTGTTAGATGGGAAGTGGAGCAGCTGGGGCCCGAACTGGCGCCCATATGGGATGTGGCGTCAAAGGCAGTGGCTTTACCTGATACGCCACACTGTGGACCACCACAATGTAGAGAGATAGCCACTGAGTTGGCAATGATAAATGTAGGAATGGGTAAATAATGGAAGGAAGCTCGCTGAAAAACAGATCCAGTCCACAGCCTCTCCCAAATGTCATTGAGGAGGTTTAGGGAAGACAATGCTGCTGGAAGCAAAACACTGCCTTTGGAAGAGAAAAGGGAAACCCACCCCTTAGCCGTTCCAGTGTAAGCATGGCTGCTGGCAAAATGGTTTTTTTGGCATCAGGTGGAAAGTAAAACGAACACAAAGAACTCCAACTTCATTAACTCAAGTCAATGGTGAATTTTTTTTTTCAAAAACGGCATTGGGCCAAACTGACTATGAACACAGCCCTGTTTCTTCTGGAGCAGGTGGAATTTCAGAGGGTGTGTTAGTTTCCAAGCGATGCTGTCATCAGGTTACCACAAACTGAGTGGCATAACAGAAATGTATTGTCTCACAGTTTGGGAGGCTGCAAGTCCAAAATCAAGGAGTGGGCAGGGCTGCTTCCTGCTGAGGGCTCTGGGGGGAGGACCTGCTCCAGGACCCCCTCCTTGGTGTGCAGATGGCTAGCTCCTCCCAGTGTTAATTCACACCATCTTCCCTCTGTGAGTTTTGCCACGTCTCTGGCCAACTGTTCCCTTTTTACAATAACACTAGTCACATCAGATTAGAACCTTCCCCACTGACCTCAGTTTTAGTTGATTACCTCTGTAAAGACAGTCTCTGGGGGCCAGGGTTGGGGTGCAGCATTAAGGGTTAAGCACCACGTGTGACGCCATCATCACAAATGGGAGCTCTGGTTCAAGTCCCTGCTGCTCCACTTCCAATCCAGCTCCCTGCTAATGTGCCTGGGAAAACAGCAGATGATGGACCAAGTGCCTGGGCCCCTGCCACCCACGTGGGAGATGAGAATGGAGTTCAAGGCTTCTGAATTCAGCCTGGACCAGCCTTGGCCATGGCAGTCATTGGGAGAGTGAACCAGTATATGGAAGATCTCTCTTTTCTGATCTCTCTCTCTCTCTCTATGTCACTCTGCCTTTCAAATAAAATAAGTCTTTTTTAAAAAAGGTTATTTATGAACAAAGCCATATTCTGAGGTACTGGGGGTAATGATTTTTTTTGACAGGCAGAGAGGACAGTGAGAGAGAGACAGAGAGAAAGGTCTTCCTTTTCCGTTGGTTCACCCCGCAATGGCCACTGAGGCCAGCGCACCGCGCTGATCTGAAGCCACAAGCCAGGTGCTTCTCCTGGTCTCCCATGCAGGTGCAGGGCCCAAGCACTTGGGCCATCCTCCACTGCACTCCCGGGCCACAGCAGAGAGCTGGCCTAGAAGAGGAGCAACCGGGACAGAATCTGGCACCCCGACCGGGACTAGAACCCGGTGTGCCAGCGCCGGAGGCAGAGGATTAGCCACGTGAGCTATGGCGGCACCGGCTAGGGGTAATGATTCTAATACATCTTGCGTGGGATACAGTTCAAGACCAGAGGAACAATTCTACACACATACATTTGAGAATTTGTATGAAACAGACCGCTTCCTCAAAAACTACAAACGACCACAATTCATCCAATGTGAAAGACATGAATAGTCCTAAATCCATTAGGGCAATAGTTTGTGATTTTAAAAAACTCACCAAAATAAGTCACATTAGCATGAAGCTGGAATCGAGTCCAGATCCAGGACATGTAAATGGCATCTCAATTACTGTGCCAAACACCCACCCTAATCACCTAACATTTTTTTTTTTTTTTGGACAGGCAGAGTGGATAGTGAGAGAGAGAGAGAGAGAGAGAGAGAGAGAGAGAGAGAGAAAGGTCTTCCTTTTGCAGTTGGTTCACCCTCCAATGGCCGCCGCGGCCAGTGCGCTGCGGCCGGTGCACCACGCTGATCCGAAGGCAGAAACCAGGTGCTTCCTCCTGGTCTCCCATGGGGTGCAGGGCCCAAGGACTTGGGCCATCCTCCACTGCACTCCCTGGCCACAGCAGAGAGCTGGCCCGGAAGAGGGGCAACTGGGACAGAATCCGGCGCCCCGACCAGGACTAGAACCCGGTGTGCTGGCGCCGCTAGGTGGAGGATTAGCCTAGTGAGCCGCGGCGCCGGCCTCACCTAACCCTTTTAATCTATTCTACCCCTGGCATCTTTGCTGCCTGTTTAGAAACTGAAGTTACTCTCTTTCCTCCGTGGTGATGTTCAGAACATTTAACAGCTTGCACTTGATGGGTGTTGAATCAGAATGGACAGGGCGATGATGGGGATGATTGTGGAGGTCACCTGTAGGGCAAAACATCCACACTTCAGTTGCTGATTGCTGAAATTTCAGAGAGATCTGAAGATTTGAGGAGGAGCCAAGGACACAGGTAAGGGATTGGGGGCTCTCAGGAGACTTGAGGTTCTTAAGAAGGAAGTATTAAGAAGGAAGTAGTTCAACAATTTATCAACCAGTATGACCACAATTGTTCAGACCAACATAAACTGAATCGATGCCATTTTCCTGTAGGTCTATGATCTCTCTTCCTGTTTGTATTAGAAATTCCTTGAGGTCTAAGATTGCATCTGAAGCTTCTTACTGTCCAGCAGGACCCAGCCCAGGGCATCCTCAGAATGAGCGTTGTGCCTTGTGCTGTGTGCATCAGCAGGCGTGAGGTTGGGAACTTGGTGCTCAGAGACAGACAGGACCCGGCCTTACAAACAGAACCGTAAGTTATGCCTTTCCATACTCAACCCTGGTAACAATCGCTTATTGTTCCCATTGGGATCTGAGTGCTTGTGGGACCAGCTACCTGACTGGCTCCTCATTTCAGAACACCTGGAGTATGGCAAACTTGGGCGGGATGATTCTTTAATGCAGATGAGCACTGGTGGGAAACTTTGTTCCTTTTGTTTCAGAATCAGGTGGAGAGGTCAATGACTTATGCCTAGAAGTAACTACCACATTCTACTTTCTTTCCCTAGTTTTGGGGAATAGAGGTGTGCAGGGAGGGGTAAGAGTAAAGATGCCCGTTTGCTTAGTACTTGACTGTTCTGCATTGTTTGAGATGTTTGTAAGGGGCTTATGAAAACTTACAATCCTAAAAGGAACTTTCCAGAAGAAAAGTAACTGAGACTGGTAAATCCTACCAAGCTCATAAAGGTCACACCCACTCCCTTTATTTAATAAAACCAACACCCCAACCCGGATCAAAAACATCAGTGCCCAATTTCTCCTCCTAGATTTTTTCCATTTACCTCATTCCCTTTAAACTTTTAAGAATTAGTTGTTTCTTTTAAGTCATTTATCAAGGCTGTTATCTTAATTGTAGTTCTGCATACTCAACAATCACTGTGGCTTCTAATGTATTTATCTAATGTATTTTATAGAATAAGCACACCCTATATGTGACAAATTAGGTGTTATGAAAAAACAGCCTTACATAATTTATTTCTCCAAGCAGAAAAATACTCACATATTTTTAATTGAGGTTTCCCTGTGGCAGATCCAACAATGCATGCATTTTGGTGATTAGTGCCAAGTGCTGACAGAGAGTGAGCGAGGGAGGGAGGGAGGGAGGAAGACAACAGCAGCAGCTTGGGGGGACTCCAGGGACTGAGTTTTGTCCTGCACGCTGCAGGGAGACCCACGCCATTGTCAAACATTACATCCCAGCAAAGGTGAGTGGCATGGATCCCCGAGAGGAAAGGGAAATCATTCCTATAAACCCAAGGATGTTTAAGGGCAAACACATATGACCCTTTCTGGGGATGTAAGAGAAAGGTGGACAAGATTCAATTTCAAGGCTGTGGGACCTATCTTCAGGGCAGGCTTCCAGGTGGAGAAGTTGGATGTAGACTTTGAAGGAATGGGACAGCTGAGGCATCTCATGATAGATGCTCTTTGTCTCCACTAAGAATAACAGAGAAACCTCGGGCAGGGTCCCAGATCAAAGTCCTTCTACCTCATCGTCATTTACCTAATGTCACTGATTCCAAGAGCTCCCTGAACCTGAGCAGCAACAAGCAAACACACAAAACCCAGCACAGCCGACCTACTTTGAGAATGTGAAGACTTACTAAATGATTCTTTTCCTAAGACATTGACCAACAGTTTTTTTTTTTTTTTTCAAGCTAAAATAGACCCCTTTTTTTTGCCTGGGGGGAAAAATGACTCAATATTTTAAATGAATGCAATTTCACATAATCACTTAGGATTTGACTAAGTGTCCAATATTTATTTGCTACCTTTGATCTGTCTCTAAAATAGCAACTCTATTTTCAAATATGAACCAGCTGGAAGAACTCAAACACGCGTCAAAGTTTGGGTAGCCCAGAGCCAGTTCCCATTTCTCATTGGGTTGGTGTCTGCTCTCTGCCCTGTATACGGTTTGGTATCAATGCAGTTGAAATGTAACCACACAAATGTGTATGTTTTTTAGAGTTAGGAACTTGCCAAAGACAGGGCCAGTCCAGTCCACAGTCTTCAGTGTGCAGAAGGGACATATCCTGTGTCTACAGAGGCTCTCGTTTTTTCTCCTCTCTCTCTCTCTCTCTCTTTTTTTTTTCTTACATCGTATGGAAAAGCCATGGAGACCCTTCCTGCAAAGGAGCACGTTCCCTGCGTCTTTGCCGGCTGTTTATTTGGAGATACGGAATCTTTGCTAACGGGTGCGCTTTGCCCTGATAAGTGCTCTTTGTAGTCACAGGAGAAGGGACGGCTGGGCTGATGTCACCAGCTCACAGGGCCAGGCAGCAGCCCAAACCTCCTGATCGATGGAGATGCAGACAGCTGCCGGGCAGGTGCCTGGTGGCTGCTCTGTGCTGCCACTGTGGTCATTTGGACCCAAGTGTAGGACACAACTAGGTTTCAGACGCATGGAGCTTTCATATCGAAGGGGTGACCATGATGTGAGCTTCTTTTTTTTTTTTTTTAAAGATTTATTATTTATTTGAAAGAGTTACACAGAGAGAGGTGAGGCAGAGAGAGAGGGAGAGAGGTCTTTCATCCAAAGGTTCATTCCCCAAATGGCCGCAACAGTCAGAGCTGAGCTGATCTGAAGCCAGGAGCCAGGAACTTCTTCTGGGTCTCCCACGTGAGTACAGGGTCCCAACGACTTGGGCCATCTTCTACTGCTTTCCCAGGCCACAGCAGAGAGCTGAATTGGAAGTGGAGCTGCTGGGTCTCAAACCAGCGGCCATATGAGATGCCGGCGCTTCAGGCCAGGGCGTTAACCTGCTGTGCCACAGTGCTGGCCCCTGATGTGAACATCTAATGAAGAAACGGAGAACCTGGGCTCCCAGAGCCCAGTCCAGGGAGCATTTTCATTGGTCCACACCCTGCCCAGAGCCCAGTCCAGGGAGCATTTTCATTGGTCCACGCACCCGCAGGGCGGCTCTGTCATCTGCCCTCGCTACAGGACCCTCACTTGGTGTCATGCTGGGCTCCAGCCTTTTTGAAAGCCTCCCTCACTTTTTCATAAGGAGTCCTGCGTTGCCATCCTCCTGAGAAGTGGGTTGGTACATTGTGCAGCCAGTCCCGCCTGCCATCTTGAACTCTTCATCCCGGTGGGGAAGATGTATGTTTGGAGGGTTTTTATGTCCCATCAGAATTTGCCTTACAGCACAGACGGAGGAAAGAAAAGGTCCTGCTTCTCCCAGCAATGACACATCTCTGTGTCAAAAAGCAAAATCTCTACACAATTTCTACTAGTGTAAAGAATTTAACAGGAGCCCCAGAGGGCAGACTTCAAGGCCTGTAGATACCTTGAGATCCGGCTTGCGGAGCCAGGGCCCTTGGCCTTCCTGGGTAGGTGTTGTTAAGGCCCTGGATCGAGAAGACCCTTCCTCTGGGCTTGAAAGCACATCAACATGTTGAACTGGCTGGACATTTTATTACCAACTCGATGGTCTCTACCAGTCTGGGTGATGGGGACCATCTAATTGGATTTGCTGGAAAAGCTTCCATGTTTAGAAACCAAGATTAAAAGTAAACAAGCCCCAAATATCTCATCTTCTTCTACACGAAAATATCCTTAACTCTGCACAACTCACTCAGACAGATGAGAAACAGGAGGTTGAGAGAACTGTAAATTGTTCTCATTCATTGTTTCAAGGCAGCTCTCTTGGAAGCTTAATTAAAACCCTTTATCCACTTCTTCACAGGTTGAAGAAATGTCAGTCCACGTGTCTTTGTAGTTCTCAGCACCTCGAAATACTGGTTAGCAAAGCTGGCTGGAAGGCAGGGCTGAGATGAGAAAAACAAAGAATACTCAGAACTTATCTAAACAGATTTTATCTGACTTTCAATTTTTATCAAGATATTCTTTGATAGGAGTATAATTTACAATATTAAGTAGTACTAAAAGGCGTATTAAAAACATCCATTTCACCTGCCTGCCATAGCGATGCAGTCCATACTCCCAATACTACCAATTTTAGTTCTTTTAGTGTTATTTCTTGTATTTACCTCTACTTCTCTAAGTAACAAGCTTATTATTATTTCTTTGTTTTTCCAGCTTAGATGTCATCTATTCACTTCTTGAATAAATGATACATGAGAAATCCTCCATGGAAAACCTGATACCCATAGACATGCACGCCTGTACATGTTTCCTCCCCACACCCTCCCAACATGGTTCTGTGCAAATACATGGTCAAATTATGAGATGTTAACATTATTATAAACACAGACACTTTGTTCACAGTGGAGATACACAGCACATTGTGACTGCATTTTCTTTCTTATCCAATTTCTTGTCTTTTTCCTGGAGTTAATAATTATCGGACTTTTATTTTTGCTTCATTTCCTGTGCTCCTGTAACTGATACTCATCTTAGATTTCCTCCAAAAAGAGATCATTTGATTTTCCTGGGGACATCTTCCTTTTATTTCCCCTCCCATTCTCTGGATTTGTTAAACAGCTGTCATCCTGGTCTCATCATTTTTTTTTTTTTTTTAGATTTTAGTTGGCTTTATTAAAAGTACCATATTTTCTTCTTCTTTTTTAGTTTTATTTATTCTTTGTTTTAAGTTTTTATTTAATGAATGCATTTTTCATAGATACAACTTTAGAAATGCAGTGGTTCTTTCCCCCATACACTCCCCTCCCCCAACCAACTCCCATCCCACCTCCCTCTCCCTCTCCCATCTCCTTCTTCATTATGGTTCATTTTTGGTCTGACTTTATATACAGAGGACCAACTCCATGCTAAGCATAGACTTCAACAGTTTGCACCCATGCACACGCACAACATATAGAGTACAGTTTGGGAACACAATTTGCAGTCGATTCTCGTAGTACAACTTATTAGGGATGGAGGTCATATATGGGGAGTAAGTGCACAGTGAATTCTGTTGTTCCTTTAACAATTAACACTCTTATTTATGACATCAGTGATCACCCGAGGCTCTTGCCATGGGCTGCCAAGGCTATGGAAGCCTTCTGTGACCACAGACTCCATCAGTATTTGGACACGGTCATAAGCAAAGTGGAAGTTCTCTCCTCCCTTCAGAGAAGAGTACATCCTTCTAGGGAATCTACTTGTCCCCTTTTCCTTTCTTAGTTCATTCCGTTGCCTTGGTGCTATTCATCAAGGCAATGGGAACAAAGAGAGTTTCAGGCCTTAAATATGTGCAATGTTCTTGTTCAGCTCACACTGGATTGGTCATTCAGCTGCAACTGCACTTTGAGTCGGAAAGATTTCTCTTAGTTTTTTGCAGGTGTTGCTGCAGTCCTACAGCTTCCAGCGTTGCAGCCTGGCTTAGGCTTGCCCATTGTGGGCACTTGGGGGAATGACCCAGCAGATGGAAAACCTTACTTGTCTGTCTCTTTTTCCTTTGCCTTTCAAATAAATAGATAAAACAAATGGGTGAACATTTTAAAAGGGGTTTTGTGTAAGGTGCACCACTATAATCAGGTACTCAGAGAGGCACTTTGAACCATCTGGAGAGTTGAGTGGGACACAAATAGTGAGGGAAGAGCAAGGTCTTTGAAAAACCAGCTCATGAAACACAGTTAGGGTAGTGTAAGTACCCTAACTATTGAACACTTACAGTACCAAAATAACAGAACTGAAGGTTATCACTCCACATCCATGCCATCTCTAGAAAAGAGGGGACAAAATATCTTTGAAAACAAAGCAAAATGGGCCCAGCATTTGGCGCAGTGGTGAGTCACCACGTGGGATGCCCACATCTTGGAGTGCCAGGTCGGAGTCCCATCTCTTCCACTTCCAATCCAGCTTCCTGCTATTGCACACCCTGTGAGGCAGCAGGTGACGGCACAAGCACTTGGGTCCCTGCCACCCACATGGGAGACACAGCTTTGGCCTGGTGCAGCTCAGGCTGCTGTGGGCATTCACAGTGTGAACTAACAGATGAAGATGTCTCTCTGCACTCAAACAAAATGAAAATAAATAAATTTTACGTGTTTTAATAAGATAAAATGAGAAAGCACAATGGGGTATAGAGGTAGGAGAAACAAAATTTATTTCTAGAAAATGATTTTATGAAGACTAGTGAGGTGATGTGCTTCAGAAGAATGAAATGAGCCCCAGAGAGAAAACACACGCAACTCCAGCAGCCATCAGCTGCCTGCCACCTCTTTACCTCCTGGTTCCCCTGCATCCCCCAGCCCCTCCCCTTCACTGGGCTCCCTCCAGACCTTAGTTGTCAGGGTGAGCGTGGAGGGAGAGGTATCAGAAAGCCAGGCTTGGTTTGTCTTGTTGTCCTGTTGGCTACAGCAGTCCTTTCTCCTTACTGAGCACTGGCTGTTGGCTCAGAGGGTAAGAAGTTCAGTATCCACCTCTGGAAAATGTAGGCCCAACCAGGAAGAATGCTCCTGGGGCAGGCGCTATGGGGCAGCAGGTTAAGCACCCACGTCCCATATCTGCCTGTTGCGTCCCAGCTACTCCATCCTTCTGACCCAGCTTCCGGCTAATGTACCTGGGAAGCCATAAAAGATGCTCAAGTGCTTGGATCCCTGTCACCCACGTGGGAGACCCAGATGAAGGTCTGGTTTCCCAGCCACAGCTGTTGTGGGCGTTTGAGAAGTGAACATGCAGATGGAAATTTCTCCCTCCCTCTCTCTTCCTCTTCATTTTCCTCTCTCACTCTTGCTCTCGCTTTGTCTTTCAAACAAAGAAAAACAATTTTTTTGAATAAAAGGGACAAGCTTAATTGGACTTGTCCCAAACGGTAGAGTTAGAAACGTGCCAGGGGATTCCAATTCAATCCCATCAAGGTGGCATGTACCAATGCCATCTTGCTAGTCAAAGTGATCAGTTTCAGTTCACGGTTGATCATAATGATAGGATTAAGAGTCAAAGGGATCACATAAACAAGACTAGTGTCTGCTAATACTAACTGATAGAATAAAAAAGGGAGAGAATGATCCAACATGGGAAGTGGGATACACAGCAGACTCATAGAATGGCAGATGTCCTAAACAGCACTCTGGCCTCAGAATCAGCCCTTAAGGCATTTGGATCTGGCTGAAGAGCCCATGAGAGTATTTTAGGCATGGAAAGCCAAGGCACTCTGCAATAAAAAAGACCTAAATGAAGATCTCTGTGAGTGAGATACCAGTGGAAAGAAGGGGCCATCAAAGAAGGAGGTACCTTTCTCTGAAGGGAGGATAGAATTCCACTTTGACTATGACCTTGTCTAAATAAGATCGGAGTTGGTGAATTCAAAAGGCTTCCATAGCCTTGGCAACTCATGACAAGAGCCTAGGGTGATTACTGACGCCATAAACAATATTGTCAATTGTTACATCAACAACAAGAGTCACTGTGCACTTACTCCCCATGTAGGATCTCTGTCTTTAATGTGTTGTGCAATGTGAATTAATGCTATAACTAGTACTCAAACAGTACTTTACACTTTGTACTTCTGTGTGGGTGCAAACTGTTGAAATCTTTACTTAATATACACTAAATTGATCTTTTGTATATAAAGATAATTGAAAATGAATCTTGATATGAATGGAATGGGAGAGGAAGTGGGAGATGGGAGGGTTCTGGGTGGGAGGGAAGAGGGAAGATATGGGGGTGAAAGCCACTGTAATCCATAAGCTGTACTTTGGAAATTTACATTTATTAAATAAAAGTTAAATAAATACATAAATAAAAGGAAGAATGCTTTTAAAAAATGAAAGTAAGAAGCAGAAAGTTAGACAAAACAACCAGCCAATGAACAAAACCAGTTGAAGGATAATAGAACAAAGTTCTGAGCTGAAGACATTAACACCAGTGTAAGTGACTCCCCCAAGCCTGTTCAGCTAACATACAGGGAGAACTGAGTCAGTCACATTGTCTTCTGCACTGCAGCTGCCTCTTGGGACAGGTAGAAAGGCAGGGTCGTGGCCGACAACCTCTTATTCACTCTCAGATAATCTAGGAACTCCTCCAAACCTCAAAGCACACCTCAGCACAGGTGCCTGGCTTGGCACCCCTGCTAAGAACTCCGACGGGACCCCACAGATGCCATCCCATCCCCTGGCAGCACATGGCAGACCCATGGTACCCCAGAAACCCTCAGAAGCCTGCCTGTCCTCATCTTTTTCCTAATGAGAGGTGCCATTTAAGTGTCTGTTATGGCACCTGCAGGGTTAGGCACTTCACAGCCCTCATTTCAGTGAATTCTCACACTGACCCTTGAAAGAAAAATGTCACCCTTGTTTTACCCAGGAGAAATGAAGTTTCCCAGAAGGCACTGAGCTGCCGTTCAGAAGCCCAGGGCTGATGCCAGTGACTACCTTTCCCCTGGGCAGCGCTGCCTCAGAGTCCCCTCACCCCCACCAAAAGCTTAAGAGTTCAGACCCCACGAGCATTTTTTTCAGAGTCCATGCTACCTTTGGCTTGCTGCATACCTTGCCTCCTCCACTTGAAAAACACAAGCAAAACCCTTGCAATGCATGGATTCATTCATAAGGAGTTGTGCACCTTAATGAGAGACCCAGTGCAGGTGGGACAGCCAGCTGGCTGCATGCGGGTGTGGGCTGGTACTCACACACTTACACAGTCACAGGGAGGGGAAGGCAGCCAGGTGAACTTGCTTCTCCCATGGAGAACCCAGAGGTCACTGACCAAGGACCATGCAATGCCAGGAGACTAATGGCTGGGGATGAATAAGCTGGCTTGTTTGTCACTGCATACCAACCCCTGTGCCAAGAACTTCTCATGTATTATGGCATAATATTTCTCTTGAAAGAGTTATATTTATTTATTTGAAAAGCAAAGTGTG